AGAGACTCAGCTTGCATGAGTGCCTGGAGACTCAGCTCACATGAATACCCAGAGACTCAGCTCACATGAATACCCAGAGACTCAGCTTGCATGGAGACTCTTTCGAGAACACAAAAAGCTCACTGCATGTTAGAGGTGTACTAGCGTAACACTCCACTGTGACTCCCAGGATTAATCTCATGATAATGCACACTAAGGCAAAGCAAACCCAAAACGGATGCCCCATTTTTAATGTACCCATGGTAACTCCATTCTTCCCTCAGAATTCCTTTTTTAAAACTAATTTTTCTTAGTCCGCGCTTCGGAGCGCTGCTAAAATGGGCGGCTGATGGCTGTATCTGCAGGCTGTTACAGGTGCAGTGCAGTCGTGGGCTAGCTCAACTTGGGAGCATAGAGGGCTTCAAGATGTCAGTGCCATCTGGCAGCCGGAGCGGGGCCAGGGGCTAGCTGTGCCGAGAAGGAGACGGGGAGCCTGTGGAGAGGACACGAGCAGCTCGAAATGACACTGCGCCTCGCGAGCCACACACACAAAATGGGAGCGGCCCCACGGCCGACACGACGCCTTCCCACAATGCCGCTATCACGCTTCTGTTGCACTGCGTAAGAGCGTTACGCGTTGTGGGAGAGCATGAAAGAACGAACGGCAAGCGAGGAGAAAGAAAGAGACGAACGGGTTTGGAGGATGAACATGGCCTTGTGGAGGGAGGACAGTATTATGACGCTGCCCTAATGCAACTCAACACCTAGCCTGCCCTCACGGGGACACACCAAGAGCAAGGGGACCCATGTGTCACTTCACAACCGCCCCCAGAGCCATTCTTCAGCGACCCGCTGATCAGCACTGTGAATTTCCTGCATGCTGCAGTACTGTTGGGTTTGTGTACACACAGCTCATCGTATCAGTAACATCTATCCCTCCATCCAATTTCTGCAATCCTATTCCAGTTTGCAGGGGGGTCTGGCGCAAGGCATGGGACAACCTAGGACGGGGTGCCAAACCATCGCAGGGCACTCACACACCATTCACTCACACGGGCACACCTATGGGCAATTTGGTAACTCCACTTCACTTTAGTATGTTTTTGGACTGTAGGGGGAAACTGGAGTACCCAGAGGAAACCCCACAATGACACTGGGAGAACATGCAAACTCCAACAACATGCCAGATAAATCAAGCGATGACTGATGCATTTTTAAATGTGTATCAACCAGCAGTGTGCTTGTGCGTTTTTGTTTTTTTTTGATGGGAACCACAACAACAATCTTAAGTGAGGAGAAACGGAATGCAAGGGAGACATAAATGGGATGAGTGTGCTGATCAGCCATTCAGGGCCGCACAGAATGCAGTGCCAGTGTAAGCAGACACACAAAAGGGTCACACTGACCACAAGATGGCGCAAGGGAGACGTGGATCTCAGTAAATCCCAGTAAATCTATTTCCGTCATTGTGCCTTGCTGCATAAATGTATGTGCATGCATGTAGGTATGTGCGTGTCTATAAATGTATATATATATATATATATATATATATATAT